AGAGTATTACTTAGACGACCTTATGGAATGTTTATACTATATTTTAATTTTGAAACGAGTTAAAAAATGTGGAAAAGTCGATCTTAAGTAAACTTAACGACAAATTAAAATCTGTTTCAGARTTATTATTGCTCTACTTTATCAATCCATACGTTTGGCAAAGAAAACATCTAAATACATATGYCCCGCGTGTGTTTGACAAARGCAGAAAATGTATTACGGTATCGAATCGCTTCAAATTCATACTGCGTACAAAAACATATATCGACCCAGCACACATCATCAACCATATTACAAAATTACAATGATAATATGTTAAATTGATAACGCTATTGCTGGTGTCAGAATATTGTTTTATGTCAATTATTATTATAACAATAATAAAAATAAACTCACAAAAATTAAATATTATATTCAATAATAGGTATATGATAGCTATAGGTACATATAGATGTTTAGGTACTGAGATTATACTTGCAGTTTTTATAAATATTTTATACTCATAAAACATTTTGATTAATTATCATAAATTCCTAGTATAAYAACATTGTATATAAATCTGTGTTGTTATTGGAAATAATAATTAGTAGGTATACTATTTATTTTTTTATAGTATTTAGAATTTAGATCATTCGTGGTATCATATTATGTACAATACTACAATGTACTAATGTATATACTTATCTATACATTACAACTATTATATGGTATTTGTAATTATTGAAACGTATTATTTTACTATACAACGATTTATAATACATTAATATCATTTTTACTARACTATACCAGTATATTAGGCATCATTTATGATTGACTGGTTTTAAAAATATTGAAATCCATTCAAAATTTTAAAACCTATTAATAATATTTATTATAAATTATAATCGTTAATGATAATACATTAATACTTAATTATTATTATTTTTACTTGTGCTACTATAACTATAATATAACCTTTTTATAACCTTCTAGGCGAGAGCCGAGAGTTCATGCGAGTACAATTAAATAAATACATCAAGAATTAACAATAATATTATTTTTAAGAAAATAGAATATAATCAAATTATWTTGGTAGATGGCGGACAGTAATGATTAGTAGTCATGATGTTTCAAATATTTTTAAATAATGTTCTAGCTCAGTGCTCTTCTGACCATCTTCTATATTCATTATAATAATGTTATCCATTCGGCATTCCTACTGTATACTGATATAGTGATATAGTAATATTTGTAATCTATAATATATAGCAGATACAATATATACAACAAAAATTATATAACTGTAAATTCAAGAAGTAATATGTGAATTAAATAGCGATTATTCGCAGGACCTCGTGGGATATTAAAAATAGTACTAAATAGGGTGTACATTCTTAT